AGAGTTTACACGAGGCAGATTTAAACTCCACCAAGCAGGATGTGAAGTGAATCAAAAGAGTGTTTTTGGCCAATCTTGCCAAGGCCGCTTTACAGAGCCGAGCCCTTCCGCTGCGGGGCACAGTGATGAACTCCGAGGAGGCACTTGCGCGGAGCCCGGCGGAGCGCAAAGCAGCTCGTGTGACCGAGAGCTTCCCTGAGCTCCCAGGAGCATTTCCCTCCGGCAGGGCGGCACCCGCACTCACTCACCAAGGCAGGGTTTAGCAGAGCTCCCTCAATGGACCCTTCCATGGCTTTTTTCCGCAGAGCGGCGGCATTTTTCACGTGCTGGAAGAGCAGCAGCGTGACGCTGCGGTCAGGGAACAGCTCCAGCCGGTGCGTTCGCTCCATCCCCCAGGGCATCGGCCGCTCGTCGGGGGAAAACACAGCGCTAACAACGCGCGGCCGCTCCGGCCGGGGCTCAGCGCTTCCCGCAGGAATCCCCCGCCTCCCGGCCCCGCTTCCCTTCCCGCCCGGCCGGGTGCCGCCCCTCGGCCCTCCCCGGAAGGGCGGCCCCAGCGCGGCCGGCGCGGAGCCGGCATGGAGCGCGCCGAGGCCTACGGCTTCTCGGGCGCCATCAGCGGCGCCTTCCTGCTGTCCTGCCTGCTCTTCGCGGCCGTCAGCCGCCGGCAGCGCGGGCCCTACATGGACGAGGTGTTCCACGTCCCGCAGGCGCAGGCCTATTGCCACGGCCGCTTCCTGCAGGTCGGGGAGCGATCACAGCAGGCCAGCAGCCGCTCGGGGTCGGGGCCGAACGCGGGTTTGGTGGCGGATGGGGCCGGGCAGAGTGCGGAGCCCGCGGGCAGGAGCTGTCGGAGCCCGCGGGCGGTGCAGCGGGGCCGGGGCCCTGTGTCGCAGCGGCCCCGTAACGCTGTTGTCGCTTTGCAGTGGGACCCCATGATCACCACGCTGCCCGGCCTGTACCTGCTCTCCGTGGGAGTGGTGAAGCCCGCGGCGTGGCTCCTCGGGTGGACGGGAAGCGTGGTGTGCTCCGTGGGGATGCTCAGGTTTATCAATCTCCTCTTCAGTGCTGGGAACTTCTATTTACTGTATTTGCTTCTGTTCAAGATCCATCAGAAGAATAAGGTACGGTCAAAATAAAGCAATATTATGACCTCATACAAGCAACTTTGGTGGCTTAATGTATGTTCCCTTCACTACCTAGGTGAGGTGTTCTTAGTCTTATGTAACTGCGAGTACCACCACCAGTTTTGCCAAGAAGGCACATTCCTATTCTCTAATCATTTTTAATATTTTTAATACTTTTTTTTTTCTTGCACAAGGTGCAGTCCTCTAAAATTCATTCTTGCACACAAGTAGGAGTCCTATTGAAATAAAACTTAATAGATATGCAGACTTATCATCCAAAGGTCTGGATGCTCATCTAGCTGGAGTTGCTTAAGAGTTCTCACAAAACAAACAGCAGCACCTCACCTGCTCTGTAAGCAGCCTGTGTCATTTAAGGGGATTTCTTATTTTTCAGCTGCTGGCCTTTGGATTAGGCCTTTTTGAATTTCATCATATATTTGTTACCTCATTCCTCTGGCCTGTGTGGGTCACTCTAGAAGACAGCTATACCTCTGAGCAAATTGCCTGGTCCTGCTCATACAGTGTCAACTACAGACTTGCTACCAGTGTACTCTTGCTGCTTTCTTGTCTTTGATAAAGCCATTAAACAGGACAGGTCCCAATATTGATCCCTGTGGTACTTGGGTTATTACTGTCCTTTGTATAGAGTGTAACCATTTCACCATCCAGCCTGTTCTTACCTGTCTAGCTGTTCACACATCCAGACCATAACAGTTCAGCTTGCATACAAGAATGGTGTATATTAAAAATTTGAAGCACCTACTATTGCAGTAAATAAAGTTTTAGTGGTTAATGGCCTATTTTAAATCTTCCACATTAGTAAAGTTACTTTGTTTTACCTTAAACAAAGTAACCTTAAAACATTTTTAAGCTTAAAACTTTTAACCTTAAAACATTTTTTTCTATTCCCTGATAACTGAAGGATTCCTTTACTATAAAGAAAATTGGTGTATTAGAGGAAATCTCTTCATTTTTAAGCAAATGATAACACTGTTCAGAATCAGATCAGATTAAATAAATATTTTTCACTTTTAATTTTATACTTCAAAGTGGAAATATAAATGTAAGAACAAGTTTCGTGACAGTATAAGCATTTAGTTATCCTTTGACATTTCTTTGATTTCAGTGTTTTCTTTATTCCTCTTGTAAGGTGATAAGTTGCTGTTTCACCCCACACTACATCATTCAGAAACATCATGCAGCATTTTTTAATGTTGTGATTTGTGGTGTTGTCATGTAGTGAGTGGAATAATTGGGAAGAGTTATTAACTGCATGGTCTTCTACCTTTTTAGAAATGTATTATCCTACTCTAATATTAGTTATAATGAGGATAAATAATAAAAGCTACATCAAAGATTAGAAACTTGGAGTTGGCCTTCAAAAGAGGTGATAGTAGAGGCACAGAATGGTGTTGTCATATAGATAAACAGAATCTCATGGTGAGATTGCAGGGGAATAAAGCATTTATTTTATCTTCTTCTGCCTATTAATGCAGCCTATTTATCCAAATCATGAGAGCAGTTATGCCCCCACCATGATTTTAATACCACAAATACATTCACACCTGGCATATGAAAGAAGTTGGTATATTTTCATTGCCACCTTTCTAACTCAACTGCAGTAATGTTCTGTGATTTTCACTTGGATTTTAACATTGTGTAACTGTATTAACATAGCAGGAGCTTTAGAAAAATATCGCATTTGTGCAGTAGTGGAAAAAAAGAACACAGGAGATGTTATACTGTGTTAATGGAATTCTCAAGAGTTATACTAGTTTTCTTTTAATATACTATTTTATTTTATTGAGCATTGTCTAACTACATTTTTCTGCTTCTTCTTTAGGCTGTGTCTGGTTTCCAGAGAATCTTGTGTGCATTAACTCTTGCAGTGTTTCCCACCCTTTATTTTTTTACATTCCTTTATTATACGGATCCGGGATCAGTATTTTTTACTCTTTTTTCCTATTTAATGTGCCTTTATGGTAACCATAAAACTTCTGCTCTCCTTGGATTTTGTGGCTTCATGTTTCGTCAGACAAATATTGTGTGGACAGTTTTTTGTGCTGGAAATGTTGTTGCAGAGAAGCTAAATGAAGCCTGGAAGATTGAGTTGCAGAAAAAGAAAGATGAAAAGATTTCTTCCAGGAAAGGATCATTTTCAGATTTGACCAGAATACTGCAGTTTCTTGTCGAGTATCTCTTGTCACCCAAAAAATTAGTTACACTTACTGCTTTAACTTGGCCATACATTGTATTAGTATCTCTCTTCTTTGTTTTTGTCTTCATCAATGGTGGAATAGTTGTTGGTGATAGAAGTAGTCATGAAGCCTGTTTGCACTTTCCTCAGCTGTTCTATTTTCTGTCCTTTACTGCTTTTTTTGCATTTCCTCATCTACTGACCCCTTCAAAAATCAGGAAATTCCTTTTGTCATTACGAAAGCACCCTGTGCAGTATAGCTTAGTCACTATCATCTCTTTATTCCTGATCTGGAAATTTACCTATGTCCATAAGTATTTACTAGCAGATAACAGGCATTATACATTTTATGTCTGGAGAAAAGTGTTCCAAAGACACGAGCTTGTAAAATACCTCTTAGTTCCATTCTATATATTTGCTGGCTGGAGTTTTGCTGATACACTAAAATCAAAGTCAATATTCTGGATCTTAATGTATTTTGTATGTTTATTAGCAGTCACTGTTCCTCAAAAATTGCTAGAATTTCGTTACTTTATTTTGCCATTCTTAATATATAGGCTCAATATTCCATTTCTGTCTCTATATAGACAACTTCTGGAGCTTGTTTTTTATATTTTAGTTAATGCTGTAACTTTTTATCTTTTTCTAAATAGAACATTCCAATGGGAAAATAGTGATGAAGTACAGAGATTTATGTGGTGACTTTTTTTTTTTATACTTTTATACCTGTAGGAAAACACAGTTCTGTTTCAGGACTGGACTTTGGATGAAACATTATGTTTTGCATCATGTAAGGACTGTTTTCCCTAGTTGGAATTGGGAAGTAAGCTTTTGCTTATATTGTTGCAACCAAATGCAAGATTGTTATAATGTGAAGATACTCCATATATTGAATTTATGAAAATTTTAAAATTCAATATGAGGGGAAATGTGAGAACACTTTTCTGTAATTAATGTAAAATAAGGGAGATGTTTACTGTCATTTTTCACGATAATGAAATATTATATAACATGCCCTTGAAGGTATAATAGTTTATAAAAGCATGTTTCAGAGGGTTCTCTTTTGCAAAAGAAAGATTTCAGTCTATTCAGCTTTTTTGTTTATTTATATGTGTGCATATTTATTCCTGAGATCAGGCCATTTCCTTCTAGATTTACTAGTGGTCAAAGTATAAACCACTATTAAAGTACAATGTTTTCAAAGCCTCCTACGTCTCACTGGATTTTCATTACTTTTTTTGTCAGTAAATGCCTACATTAGTTTTGTAAGCAGAATGGGCTCTCAAACCACTAGAGAATTTTGAACATTTTATTTCAAACTGATATTTAGAAAACACAGCAGATGCTATGTGTGTGCACCTTCTTTGGATGAATAAATGTTACTGTACAATGAAACATAAATGGCAGTTGGTAAAATGACCTGTTAGAAAGGGGGTAATTTACAAATGTCAGACTGCAATGTGCAGTGGATTGCAGCCCTCTTAAATAATTGAGCTTTTATGTCCTGTGGTTCTGTGCTCGCAGGTTTGTGCTGAAATCGACTCTGAGTGCACTTCTGAGTTGCACTGAGTGTTTCAAAGATCTTTGATGTGTAATCTCCAAGAAGTACTGATGGCATTATTGAACTATTTTTTAAGGATTTTTTCATTTTTAATGGAACTTGAGTGTATATATTCTGGTTGACAAAGGTGAAATGCAATGTATATATACATATAGGTATGTATATATATTTAAAAGCATGTAGTGTGCACTATCATCAGAGTAAATGAAGGCTTTAATGGTTCTTGTAAGTAAATCACTTTATTAAGTTTCAAAAACATTTGATTGCTGAATTATATGACAGGGGAGAGTGGTCTCCAAAACTTCAGGCACTGTATAGCTTGTCTAAATTCAATATGTTCTTTATTGATAATACTTCAGCCAAATCTGTGCAAACATCATATTATTGCCACTTAAGTCACTCTGAATTGGAATAGTTTCTCAAGAGCTCAGTTCTGGGCAGTTACGGGCTCAGGTCAGTATTGTTACTGGTGTCTTTTACAATGAAGATCCGTGTCCTGCCTCCAATTCTTTCCCTGTGCCAGCACTGTGTGGGTGTGGCAGCTCAGATTCTGATCAGAGTCTTTGCAACCCTGTTTCTCCCAAGGAAACCCTCCTGCCACTCTTCAATGAGTAGGTGTGTTTGTATTGAATTCGGGATATTTGCCAGGTCGCTTTTTCTTCTTGGCCTTTTACCAGCCTGGTAATTTGTTGTCA